TTTTATTGCATTTATGTGTAACTGAAAAGAATTGCTTAATTGCGGATAAGTATGAATGTCCAGCATGTGGGTATGAAATGAGATTGTGTGAAAGGAAGGATATTATAGATAAGTTTGAATGGCGGTGCAAGAAATCTGGTGAAAATGGACATTTTGTGATCCGCCATGCACTCAAGATTCTGCAGAAGATTAGGTAAGTTAGTATTTTTAATTATTTGAGGATATTATTTTTATGCATTGTTCTAAATGTAAGGAGTAAATAAATTTAATATGGTATTATTGGGAAAATTGTTATTAGCAATGATTTAGTTTAAAGTAATTAGGATTCTAAGCTAATTTTTATTAATTTAATGTATGTGCTTATTTATATTTTAAGTAGTGTTTTTTAATTTTTTATATTTTTAATTTAATGATCGTGATTTTGAGAGTTATAATGTTTGTAGTATTTTGGAATACGTTTGAGTAGAAGTAAATGTGCATGGAAAGAATTTAAGTATTTGACACTAAGTATTTGAAACCATTTTTAATGTTTGCATTAGAAATTGGCAGGTGAGGTTTATAATAGATAATTTAGGGGGAAAAGTTTTTGGATATTTTATTTATTTTAAACGTGCAAATGTTCATCCTTGGAAAGGGTACATACTTTTTCGCGATCAGATAATTTCATATATGTCCTTTTTACCGGGTTTAAAGATTGAGAAAATTTTCATGCATTTTCGTGAAACTTTTCTAATTTATGAGAAAAAAGCAGTGTACATGGATGTAGTGAAGAGTGTGCGCAATGCCATTTTTGTGCAATTCTGGGATGTTTTTTAAGTAAAAATAAGTCGACGTGTACATGGTTTAATTATATTTTAATTAAACGATAGTTATTTTGTGAATTACATGCTTGTAGCAATTTGGTATACGTTTGAGTGGATGTAAACGTGCATGGAAATAATTTAAATATTTGACACTAAGTATTTGTAACCATTTTTAATGTTTTGTTATGAATTCGTTGGTGACGTTTTTAATAGATAATTTAGAGGTAAAAATTTTTGGATATTTTATTTATACTATACGTGGAAATGTTCATCCTTGGATAGGGTATATACTTTTTCGCAATCAGGTAATTTCATATATGTGCTTTTTACCGAGTTTAAAGATTCACAAAATTTTCCTGCATTTTCGTGTAATTTTTTGTAATTTATGAAAAAAGCAGTTTAGATGGATATAAGTCAAGAGTGTGCACAATGCCATTTTTGTGCAATTCTGGGATTTTTTTTTAAGTAAAATAAGTCGCGTGTACATGTTATGTTATTTTTTTAAAACGCACAAGAGTTTGCGATTCTGCACTTTAACCATTTTGCAGTTAATTTGTCATGATAAATTTATAAAATTCTAGCATAAGTAATTCGGCTAATAGATTGTTGGTTGATCTTTACATTATGGTAACTTGGCGATTTTTTTGGCGAAAATTTGGCGACCAACTCTCCTACAGCAACCCTCTATTTTTTTTTTCCCGCCGCCATTTTGTCTTCACGAAGTAAAGACATGTTTCTTTTCTTTTTATCTACTGAACACTTCTTCCAACAATCTACTAGCCGAATTACACTTATGCTAGAAATTTTATCTAACAAAACTGCTTAATCATGACAAATATTCACTGCAAAATTGGGAAAAAGTGCACAATACCATACTCCTTACGCGTTTTTTCAAAATAACACATACACATAAACCATGTACACACGCCGACTTATTTTTACTTAAAAAAACATCCCAGAATTGCACAAAAATGGCATTGCGCACACTCTTCACTATATCCATGTACACTGCTTTTTTCTCATAAATTAGAAAAATTTCACGAAAATACATGACAATTTTCTCAATCTTTAAACCCGGTAAAAAGAACATATATGAAATTACCTGATCGCGAAAAAGTATTTACCCTTTCCAAATATGAACATTTCCACATATAAAATAAATAAAATATCCAAAAACTTTTACCTCTAAATCATCTATTACATTATACACGTCACCAACGAATTCATACCGCAAGCATTACAAATACTTAGTATCAAATATTTAAATTATTTCCATGCACGTTTACTTCAACTTAAACGTATACCAAATTCCTACAAACATAAAATTCACAAAATAACTATCATTTAATTAAAATATCACTAAACCATGTACACGTCGACTTATTTTTACTTAAAAAAACATCCCAGAATTGCACAAAAATGGCATTGCGCACACTCTTCACTATATCCATGTACACTGCTTTTTTCTCATAAATTAGAAAAATTTCACGAAAATACATGACAATTTTCTCAATCTTTAAACCCGGTAAAAAGAACATATATGAAATTACCTGATCGCGAAAAAGTATTTACCCTTTCCAAATATGAACATTTCCACATATAAAATAAATAAAATATCCAAAAACTTTTACCTCTAAATCATCTATTACATTATACACGTCACCAACGAATTCATACCGCAAGCATTACAAATACTTAGTATCAAATATTTAAATTATTTCCATGCACGTTTACTTCAACTTAAACGTATACCAAATTCCTACAAACATAAAATTCACAAAATAACTATCATTTAATTAAAATATCACTAAACCATGTACACGCCGACTTATTTTTACTTAAAAAAACATCCCAGAATTGCACAAAAATGGCATTGCGCACACTCTTCACTATATCCATGTACACTGCTTTTTTCTCATAAATTAGAAAAATTTTCACGAAAATACATGACAATTTTCTCAATCTTTAAACCCGGTAAAAAGAACATATATGAAATTACCTGATCGCGAAAAAGTAATGAATATTTCCACATATAAAATAAATAAAATATCCAAAAACTTTTACCTCTAAATCATCTATTACTTTTATACACGTCACCAACGAATTCATACCGCAACCATTACAAATACTTAGTGTCAGATATTTAAATTATTTCCATGCACGTTTACTTCAACTAAAACGTATACCAAATTCCTACAAACATAAAATTCACAAAATAACTATCATTTAATTAAAATATAATTAAATTCAAAAACACTACTTAAAATATAAATGAGCACATACATTAAATTAATACATACATAAATACCCATTTCGAATTCACTTTAGTTACGGCCATGGGATCCAAAAATTCACGAACACTGTTTCACACAACACACAGAATAAAGCCAAAATACAAAATTTCCAGATTTTTTCCCGATTTCCCCCTTTTCCGATTAAAGAACCGTAATTCGTCCATTAATATCACATGACATATCCCATGATCTCTCATTTCCCTCACACAAAATAATGCGTAATCGGAACTGAGTACTGCTCACATTATTACCAAAGTGCCAGGTAGTAACCTTTATCTCCAAAATGTCACCAAACTACCAGTTACCATATTGTAAAGATCAACCGTCTTTACTTGGTGAAGACAAAATGGCGGCCAAAAAATAGAGGGTTGCTGTAGCAGAGTTGGTCGCCAAAAAATCGCCAAGTTACCATAATCCAAAGATCAACCACTTTTTTCACATAATTAGGTCTCTGAAATATTATAGAAAAAAATATATACATTTATATGTACATTTATGACATAATTACAAAATGTTTTCATCCTATTGTGTCAAAACCCATTGATCTTAATGGTAAGTCACTGAGTGTTTTGGTTTCCACGAAGGGATCCCCAGTGCTTCAAAGCAGTGTATGGGGAAAAGCTGGTTAGGGCCTCTTCTCTTACTTCCTACCTCCATGGATGGAATATACCATGGCAAGTGAGTTTTTTTACACATAAGCAGTCGCAAAAAGAATATATACAAATATGAAGTATACACAAGCAGATATGAGACAATTATATTTTGATACTGCAATAAAAGATTTAAATAAAGAAACTGTTAACCTCAAATGAGCTGCAAAAGGGCTAAGATGTTTGTACTTGCAATTATTTATCTCAGAGTTAATCACATTGCAGTAAACATTTTTTACAGCATTTATGCAAGTATTTGGCAATAGAGTCAATTTTAAGATCTCGATTCCCATAATGGAAGTGCTTGTGATTATTCTTAGAAAAAAAATTAGAATTATTTGGAGCATATATCAGTAAAAAATGTTCATGCAAATTTGCAGTTCAGATTCAAATTTGAGTACTTACTTAAAAAAAGTCGTTTTAAATATACTGCTCTTAATTTTATTACAAAAAATACTTCAGAATTATTTAATATAGTGCGCATGCTCATGTTAACAAGAGTTACAAAAGTTAAACTTTGTATAAATAAACTATCCTTATAAAAACTTCGATTTTTTACACTGACAGCATCACACTGCCGCCTGATGTCACGCCTTTATCCTATTTCAAAGAGAAAACTACCAAAATTTATATATCTTACCTCTTGACTTCCACATATTCCCGATATATAAACTTTGATAGTCATTTTTCTTGATGAAAAGTGTAAGTATCTCGATTTCACTCGACTACACTACACTACCCTACACATCGCAGTAAACCTTGGGATATCTTAACTTCTCAACTTTCACTTCGTAAGCAGAGTGGAAAAAAAAGGTAAAAAGAAAGTGGGACACGATTAAAAAATAAAATAAAATCATTGATTCAAATTAAGTTCCAAAACCAGGCTGCACAGTGCAGGATAACTTATGCTCATCAGATTTGTTTCATAAGGAAATATAACATAATAATCTTTAATTACATATTTTCAAAGTAAAACCGAAACTAATAAGTATGATAGAAAACTTTTCTAATTACAAGAAATGAAAAATACATTTTCAAAGTTTACAAAGTTATCAGCTTTCTTAGCAACCGTTTTTAAAGTTATATTCAAGGGATCTATAACCTGTTTTATCAAAAAAATATTATTTTAATCTTCAAGTTGAAAATACATGCAATGTTTTTATCCGCGAAAGATGCGAAGTGAAGTAATTATATTGGATTATTGTCCGAAATTTAAATTCCGTTAGCGATCATCGTTTTACTGAAGTAAATAATCTATAGTTAACGATTCTTTAAATGTTTTAATTGTTTATGATTGCAAGAAAAAATATGGAAATGAAATTTTACCTAGTTACTGTCTCAATAAATTATGTTCTCTTGTTTTACATCTTTTCATTATTTTATGTTCAGGATCCTTACTTCGTGCAGTGCGATCACAATGATGCATCGTGATTCTTATTCAGGATCTTATTAGAAACCTCGTGACTGTTGTTTGAAACATGATGATTTTGGAAAGTAAAGTATACTCCTTTTTTCAATTGACTTTCAGGCTGTCCATTTTAATAGCTTTTTGTAATTCCATTTTCTTTAATATGCATGTTTGCGATCAAAAAATAGTAGATTTTATGTAGTATAAAATTTTGAAGTTATTTTATGATTTGTATCATTTTTCTTAACCGTTTTACGTATTGATAGATATTATAAATTTTGATTTATTAAAATAAAGCAAAGCATGCATTAAAAATTTAATGCTTTTAATTGTTTTTAATTTAAGGCACCTAAAAATCTTTTTCATGGGTAAAAAGTGCAAATTTATTTCGTTTTTTAGTGAATGTACATATTTTTTGGAATGATTTAAAACAATATTGATTATTGCTGTTGAACATTATGTAATATATATATATATATTTGTTAATTAATAAATTTTGAAAATTGAGCCATAGCTAAGATTAAGATTTCAGAGAATGGTTTAGTTTACATAAGCCTTTTTCAACACTTATCTAAGCATTTCAGATAAATAGGGTATTAATGCTTTGCATAAATTTATGAATATAAAAGCCTGTAAAGTGTTAAAATGACATTCAAATGCCATCTTGTTATTTTATTCGTACTATTCAATGCCATTATTTTGGGGTGAAGTGCAGAATCGCCCACTTATTTGGCACGTTATGTTTGGCACTTTTTACAACAGTAAGAAGAATTGGATTTTTGTCAATTTTCCTATGACGCTTTAACCCATTAACCACCAAAACTACAAGGAATGTTTCTTTTCTCATGAAAATAATAACAAATATTAAATTAAGCATTTATAACATAAATTTAAATTGAAAATAAAAAAAATGCTCTTACTTGTGGAAAAAGCGAGTGTTGCGTCCGCGCAACGTCAGCGGAATAAGACTACGGATGTTTAGTAAGTAGGATTGTACTTGTGTGATGTTTTTTTTGAGTGGAGTGCAGGATTACTTTTTAGCTGTATAACGTTTTATAAATCTACAAATCACTTTACTTGTAATTAATTTAATATTAAAATATACATTGTATTTCTTTTACAAATACAGATTATTTCAACTGAAAGATTCAAGCATGAAAAGCTTGATTACAATCATGATGTAAAGCTTCATTACATACTTTGCATCTGTAAACAGTCTGGCTATAATACTCTTTACAACAAAGTCTTTTGTTATCAACGGACTTTATGATAAAAATGTCTACCATCTCCATGCAATGGTTTTTGAATGCTGAATTTACTAGGTCTTCCTGTTGCTGATCTATTTCTGGCTAATTCTACACTCTCAATAGGAGTTTACAAAAGGAATAATGCATTCTCATGTCTGAAATCTGAAAGAGACTTTATATTTCCAGTAGTAAAATGTGGTGATATTTAGTAAGTTTAGATACGGTCTTACCTCATATACAGTCAAAAGTCGTTAATTCGGACACCCGTAATCCGGAATGATCTATAATCCGCACCTCAAAGCTAAAATCTTTCTGCGCATGCGCCGCATTGACGCATGTGCATAGGCGTTTTACTCGTGCGCGCAAGACATTTACGACTGGCATATGCATCTGCGCAAGTGCAGAATACGTTTTCGCGTGCGCGTTTAATGTATAATGGACGGTAAAAGCTAAAATTATCTAATTATCTATTTCAGTTATTGTTGATAATTGCGTTGTTCCTTAATCTTCAAATTGGATCCGGCTTATTATTTTTTGCAGACTGTAAGAGCAATTTTCTAAAAAGTAAGCTTGAACTTTTGATTATGTCAAATAGAATTTCCGATGCTGGAGCTCCCAAAGGATCTAGAAAACGAAAGTATGTTCGATGTCCATCAAACAAAAAATGAATTGCTACAAAAAATGGATAAAAGCATATCCTTTGTTTATCTAACCGTTCCGAAATCTGTATCAATTTCACGCTGCTCTGCGCAGGGGGGGGGGGCACGTCGCGGCACGCAATGAACTGAAAGTTGATCTGTCAACACTATCGTTATCTTCAGGGCAGATGTTTTTATTTTAGTCGGCTTATAATTCCTTACTAAATGTAGTATTTAATTTCGATGTACTCCGTCTTTGATATGATTTAAATCAAATTCCTCGTCATTATAAATATCACGAATACAAATCACATAGTTTTCTGGTTGCAATTTTCTAATTTCGGCTATGAGTAAGGTATGCTTTACGCATCCGCGCGTTAAAAGAAATGTTTAAGAAAGTAAACAAATAAATATTAGGCTTCTTTTTTGGTAATTTGGATACCCTTTGATCATAATTGCTCATTATTTTATAAATTACGGTTTCATATTTTTAATTTTATAATTTCTGCATGCCATCTTACTAGATTTAAACTGATGATCTATAATCCGGAAAAATCAATAATCCGGAATCGCCGAAGTCCCGACGAGTCCGGATTAAAGACTTTTGACTGTAATTTATCAGTATTGTCAAATGCAAATTCTGCTTCATATTCCTGTACTGCAAACGTGATATCGATTCTCGTACAACAGGAACAGAAATGTCCTTATCAAAACACCAACACATTTTTTCTTGAGGTAAAGAATGATATCATGTAAGCAATAATATTCCAATAAATCTTCTCATATAGGCTTCAGATGCAATAAATTCTGGGCATTTTTTTTTTTTTTTTCCCTGAGCGTATATATTTGTCTGTTTGACAAAAAGAGAGTAAATGTCTAAACCAAAAAGAAAATCGAAAATCTGTGCCCTAGTTTTACCTTGTATTTTGTCTTTTAAAATTTCTCTTCTATCTCAGGAAGAACAAGAATGTTCTTCCTGAGACATAACTAACAGTTCCTTTTTTATCCACTTCAAGATTTAAGTCTTCTGCTTTTTAAACTTTTTAGTACGACTATAACTGCTTTTTGAAGGCTGAAACGTACTTCTTCCACGAATTTCAACTTCCCCAGCAGTATCATTTGGTAAAATATCATTATCATTATTTAAAACAGTGTCATTCCTTTCTTCTTTGTCACTAGCTTCTGCAATTTCTGGGGGAACAACAACAACATCAGTTTCATTCTGGTCATTATTAACATTATCATCATCTGTTTCTTTATCAAAAAATCTTTCAAGGGCTTCTTCTAATATAAGATACCTCGTTCTAGGCATTTTTAAATAACCAGAACATCGAAAGGAATGAGTGAAAATGGAGATTGACTACCTGTTTCCTGCTGACGTTGCATCAGCGCAACACCTGTTTTCCCTTCCTTCCCAACACAAATATTAACATCTGACCTGATGTAAGTGTTCTGATAAACGGTGACCTTGACTAAAATAGATCACTCATAAGAGGGCGATTCTTTCGTTAAATATTTTCAGCAAATACCCGGTCGAAATTTGCTTAAAGTATGAGATTAATTATTATAAACAAAATAATTGTTGAAGGCAAATATTTTTTACAGAAATAATCTTCATAATATTCCCTACACAAAATCATCTGCTGGTATAAAGTATCTTAGGTAGTTATATTTATATACCCATTTATTTTGACCGTTGCGACAACGCAATACCAGCGGCTAATGGGTTAAGTGAAAATACATCGATGTGTACATGGAAAGTAAAGGGAGTGCGCAATGTGGAATTTATGCAATTCTGTGATGTTTTTTTAAGTGAAAACAGGTCGATGTGTACATGGATACCGAGTTATGTGCAATTCTTAAAAACGCGCCGAGCAGTGGGTGATTCTGCACATTCCCCTTATTTTTAATATTATTGCATTTAGTGGTGAATTATGAAAATTTTAACAAAGTTCATACTTTATTTTGTAAAAACAAAATATCAGAGCCTAATTACATTTCTTGCATTTTATAAAACAGAAAATACAATTAATTTTCCATGAACAGGAAACTATGTTTAAATTTTTAAAAAATCTTTAAAATTTGCGCAAATAAAAAAGAAATCACAAAATATTATAGAAATTATGTAAAATAATGAATGAATTTAGTCATGAGCCATAATTTAGTTAGAAACGGCTGTGTGTTATTTTTAATTTTGCACGTCAGTTGATCTTTTGGAGATTCTAAGGCTGGGCAATGATTTTTCAAAAATGTTTTTACATAAGGTTTGATAATAATTTCTCTTATAGATTTTTCATTTAAATACATACAATTAAAACTGTAATATGTTGTATAGTCAACAACATTTTTAATTATTTCAAATACTGTTTATTGAGCCAAAAGCTTCTTGAATCTAACATAAAAGAGAAACTAATTTAAGTCAAAGTATGGTTATGTAATGTTAGACAAGTGTTTTGTTTGGAATAAATAAACAAGCTAACAAAAGGGAAAGGGGCTCTTGAATTAAAGATAAATTTGAGAAAGGGTTTGTACAAGGCTCCTCAAGCTTCTTATAGCTGATTACTGGTTATATTGAATGAATATATAATTAATAAAGTATTTGCTTTCTTGTGAATATTTGTGAGTGTTATGTTTAGTGTCATTACTTCTAAGGATTTTGCTTTACAGATTTTTACTTCAAAAAGGAAAACAGAATTTTTATTCATCTATGGCACAGGTATTGGAGAGCATGTTCAATTTGCAGTTTTATTCTAGTGCAAACAGATGAATTATTTTTAAAAGATTATAAGTGTGTGCTTGCCAATATTTTTGAAAGAATTATTAAGTTTTTGACTTGAATTTGTTTTACTTCTATTGAAGAAGCCTATGATATAAAATGGATTTGTGTGGAGATCTTCCACTTTTAAATGAGTTAGCTGATTCTGTTGCCGAACAAGAAACTGCTACTTGTACCAACAAAAATATGAAAAATTCTTATCTGAAGACTTCAAAAGAAAATTCAAATTTAAAGCCCATAACTGAAAAAAAGTGTAAAGGAGCTCAAAAATCCTGTAAGTGGAACAACAGAATACTTTAGTTTTGATACTTACATATTATCCCATTGACCATGAAATTGTCGCCAAGCAGCGCGATTTAGCACCAGTTATTCATAAGCATGATGAACCAACAGACTCATAACATCTGTGCTTTCATCTAATTTAACTCTAATTGATTCACAGTAAGCCATGTTTTGATTTTATGAAATTAGGATATAAATTAGCTCTTAGTGCTGTATTTTTTTATTTTGCATTTTGAAAAAGAACAAAATGAATAAATACAGTTTTGGTCCTGCCTTCTACAGGCCAAACCTTCTACAAGATTATTTTCAAAATTAAGAAGTATGTCTTAATGGACAAGATCTGGCCAGTTGCTTACAAAACAGTAATAAACTGGAGCAATTACCAGCAGGAATTTTGTGCTCATACCATTATAAACAGAGCTTCTGGTAAAATCAGAGGGCGTATAAAATAGTAGAAACCGGTGAAAGAAAGCCTTTTTCTGATTCAGGAAAATGAAATGGATTAAATTCTGATAGCTTATTAGTGAAGTGGCATCAGTTATTTGAGAACTTCCCAGGAACATTTGTCACAGCTTTGCTAGGATCTCTGCTAACTTTCGCGGCTGATGGGATAATACGTGAGTACCAGTTTTAATTCTGAATATTTCTGTAAGTTTTACTTATTGCTCTGAATCCTTAAATTTTACAGAGTACAAATGCTGATTTTGATGGTAATATTTACTCTGGGAAAAACTTCTTTTGACATACCAAATTACTCTTCAAATTATATTTTACTACTGTTATTTTTTCCAATCTTGGCTCTAGCATTTTTCCTTAGGCTAAGTGATCAATATAATTGGTGTCATGCATAAGTTAAATGTATTGACAATTCCAGGAGAAAATGGACTTTTATTTATTTTCTGCCTGTAAAATGAACTTAGTATTCTGACCTTAGTATTCTGATTCTTAGTACTGAGTATTCTGAAAACTGACAACCTAGGTGGCTACCTATGTTTGGAAATGTCTATTTATGATTTTAATTGGTTTCATTTACTTTTTAAAGTGTACTTATTGATTTAAGAGTTCAAAATTGAATTATTTTAAGTGGAAAGCTGTTAAATATTGAAGCTGATTATCTGTTAAACTTTTTTACAGATGAAATGGTGGCTTTCCTCTGCTTTTTTTTTTTTTTTTTTTATGATTGCTGATTTTTTCACATAATTTGCATACAGTAGAGAAAATGTATGCTGTATTGCCAAATGCAATAACATGTTTATCTGTTATCATAAATAGCTGTGTAATGATGTAGTTGCAAATATTAAAGAAGACTGAACTTCAATCCATGAATTTGTCATCTAGATTTTCAGATGTTTAAGCATAAGATTTACAGTTGCTGACCTGGCAACTGCCAGTTATGGAACGCCTGGAAATTAATAAAAAATGCACTCTTATTGATCATGATAATGGGATATTATGTACAAAATGGTAAAACAAGTATCAGGATCAATTCTAAAATTAATGTCTTTTTACAAATTTATTGTCTTTATTTATTGGCTTTTTACAAAAATTTAAACTATATTAAAATGTTTATGCCTTCAAAATAAAAAAATCTTAGAACTAACATTTGTTATGGGTATACTGTGTGTTGTCGTCAATAAAGTCTGCTTGGTGAGATTTGCGCCAGCAAAACAGAAAAGTACCTATAAAGTTAGATTAAAAATCTGTGTTATGAATTAACAACTAAAATCTAAAAATGAAATAAACATTTCCTTCCACAGCTGACTAAAAAAATTTTAATTTTATAACAAAATGATATAAAGGCTTTTATAAGGTTTGTATTATCATGTCATTGCTAATGTATCATTTTCAACTAATGAATTTATTTCAGGTTATGGTATTTCTCACACAAATAAATCTATATATCAAAGCAAATATTTTAAACCACAAGTAGTGAAAAGAAAATCTGCACCAGTCTGTGTTCGATTGTCGAATTCATCTGCTGAGATGGTATTATTTGAACGAAAAGTTGAAATTAAGGATTTAGAGAGTCAGGTTGTTTACTTACAAAATCAGTTAAAGGTGAGACAAAATTTTTTTATTCTGTTTTCAATGTGGATTGAAGTGTTGATAATTCTCCCACTTTCTACTTTTCTTATTTGTCTTTAACACCTTGAGGAAGTGTTATTGTTTCCAGTTAACAACGATATTTTGTCCATTATTACTAAGATCAGAATTATGATGGCACATTATGCTAATTGATGATGCATAAGATCTTGTATTTATGTTTGATATGATGAATATGCATTTCAGTGCATATTTATATTATTTTGATATTTTTCTACAGTGCAACCTCGGATCATGAACACTTCACATCACAAACAGTTTGGTTCACAAACAGATTCTTTGAATAAAAAACATCTCAGGTGATGAAAGGTGTTTAATGTGAAAGTTTAAGTAAGCAAAATGGTTTTTGTGGTAAATTTTGCGATATAATTAATACTCAGAAGTATCTGAAAGCACCTTTATTATTTTCTATTGCTTAACTCTTATTCACGAAGCCTGGCAGCAAGTGACTTACAGGATAATGAATTCAGCCTGGTGGAAATTATGGCCAGACGGGGCTGCAAGTTTAGTTACTTTAAATGCTTTAACCCTTAGGACATTTTTTGTTATTTAGGAAGTCTGTGTCTAGGAAACACAATAGGCTAAGAAGTTAACTATTAAGACCTGATGTACCGTACTTGATGGCATATAAGACGCACCCTTAGTTAGAAGGCCACACACAAGGAAAAAAAGTTTCAATTGTCCACGCGACAGCGTGGTACCACAATAACTTAAAATGTGGTTTCTTTTGGTTCTCATGTTTTGTAAAAGCCAAATAAACAATCATTGAATGCAATTACCAAACATATTTTTATTAAGGAAAATTAACAAACGGCAAGCTATTTTGAACATGATATGTAAATTTCAATAATGAATAAATGAATGAACGACAAGCAATGAAACATAATACAAAATAAAGCAGAAACAACAAAAAACACAGATTCAAGGAAAACGTTGCCCTATCATGAAATTAGACTTCCAAGAATACCAAGTCTACCAAGAATGACACTTTCAAAACCATAAAAATCCTTTTCACTATCATCATCACCGAAAACAAGAATATCGTCATCACTACTGTTTCCGTCATCGCTAGTATCACCTTCTTCGAATAATGCGTTGTCTTCTGTTTTGTCAAGAGCATTACTGATTCCGCACTTCTTAAAGGACGTAACAATTACTTCAGCCTTTACGTCCTCTCAAGATCTTTTTACCGACTCACATACTTGTTAAATAGAGGGCCGCTTCATTCTACCTGAGGGTGTGATGTGGCTCTCCTATCCACTTGTTCAATCGTTCTCGCACTTTTTCCTTAAATGGCTTATTCACCGATACATCTAAAGGCTGTAATTGGCTAGTCAGTCCACCAAGAATGACAGCTATCTGGGTTTTTAATTCTCTCGCTTTATTCTTTATGGTTTCAGTTCTATGGGCGCTAAACTGATCCAAAAGCAAAAGAGAGGATTTTTTAAAAGTCCATCAGGTCACCTTGCCTATACGTTCTGTAACCACTGTTTCATTCTAGCTTCGTCCATCCAGCCTTTCGTATGAACATGAACAATTACACCCATTGGAAGCTTTTTTTTTTTTTTAATATGAAAAACGGCGGTAGTTTTGTGCCATCAGCACAACATGTTAGAATTACCGTATATCAGGTTTTTTCATGACCTGCGGTTTTTATGGTTGTGATATTGGGGGGCCCCCAACTTGTCAGCAACAGTAGTAGTGACTGCTATGAACTGGAAATTACACAGACTCTTAGGAAGGGTTTAACTCCCTTTTTATTTCACTTTAGAAATCACAGTTGCATTCATTTGACGCTCACAAACTACGCTGACCCGGCGGTTAAACAAAAATAGAAAAGTACAACTAAAAATAAGTGACAGGATGAATAAATAACGAAGTCACTATCTATGAGGCTCTATAATCATAACTATCTTAACCGCGTTCTAAGATACAGCTGAGATTCAGCAAACTTTCTGATTAAGAATTTGAAAGATTCAACGAACTATTGAAATAGGCACACAGGCCGAAACGCGCGGTTCTTAAACTTTCTACCAAGCAACCTTCACGCTCGTGATTCAAGAAGCACACTTACAAACTCGTTTCCCTTCTATAACTTCTGCTAAAAATTTGAATATTCTGCGCGTTCTACTACGATTTACATACTCTGGCATTGGCAATTCTAGGGGAAAGTAAAGGCTTGACAGGAAAGATAGTTTAAACTTAAAATAAATGTTAGTTAAAATAAATATAAACCCTACATGGTTATTGATTTAGACCCTTTAATACTCACAGTCTTGTTGGATGGTACATGAAATGCGAGTGGAATTTCATCCATATTTCGTATTTGACCGAGCTCAAAAGAAGTTTTCTTGCATGCATTTATAACAAACCTATGAAATGCTAGTATTTTTTCTCCATAATCTGCTGGCATTTTCTGTGCAATAGTTGTTTTTGTGTGCATTGATAAGCCTTGCCTTTTCATGAACCTGTAGCACCAGTCCTCAGACCCTGAAAAATTCTGATTCCCATGTTTTTCTGCAAATCCTTTGGCCTCATTGAGTTATCATTTTGGTTGAAACACTTATCCCAGGTTTCCTCTTATCTGTCACCCACATTTTCAAGTTCAGGCCAAGATAGAGCTGGGTATCAAAGATTATGTTTTTGTTTTTTAGCAGTCTTCAGTTGATCTTCCTGCCGTCGCCAAGTACATATCATTTTTCGGTAGGTGGTGGACCGAAATGCCTTGCTGCTGCTTTGTTTCCATGCACTTTGGCTTAGTTTAACACTCCTAGTTTATACTGAATTGTGTAGCTTAATCTCGTTTCCTGTAGTCATATTTTCCAGGGTATTTCTTTTAAACAAATAGTTTTAAGCACCGATACCGACACGTTTATACAGAGTAGCACTGATACCGAAACGTGTGTCGGCTGAGTCAAAGAAAGTCTATGTAAAGAAGGAAAGGCTCCATTGACGTAATGTGACCATCAAACCTGTTCGAGCTTTGGCGCTTTTGGGCGACAGATATTCCACGCATGCGCAAAATAATTATGGCAGATATAGAAAAAGTTATGTGTATCTAGACCTTTATCAGGGCTAAAAATAGCATTCAGTATTGAAAGTTAACCTGTGTCCTTCACATATAAGCCGCAGGTAACTTTTTTGAGACCAAATTTAGGAAAAAAAGTGCATCTTATATGCCTTCAAATATGGTATTTACTAGATGATCATAAAAATGAGCTCAGCAAGAAAGAATGACAGCAACTTAAAAGTAATACTAAAAAGTAATTATGGTGAAAATAATTGAAAGAAAAGGAAGGACAAAGAGATTATTCTTGTTTTTTAATTTATGAAATTTGTCAAAATGAGGTCAGAAGGAAAATTTTCATGCAATGAATATTGCTCTGATAAAGAAGTAGCAGGCTGTAAAACAACCAATTTCAGTGACAATCACATGTCTCACTTTAGAAAATTTTTAAATATAAGCAACAGCAAATCCCATTGGACAAATACTGAGGAAAAGGGAAGTTAAATGGGTCTTCAAAAGATAAATGAAAGGTCTTAAGGGTATATAAAAAGATAAAAGGAAAATGCCTTATAAATGCAGTTACCTGATGATTTAATGAAAGGTTATAGTATCATCCAACAACAGCATCTTCCTTATCATTTTCCACTTATGCAGTTTACTGTCCTTCACACAGAAACAGTTAACTGTTTTTAATATTACAGAAACAGTAAACTGTTTAATATTTTTTACCTTTTTATTTTGCATTTAATGTTTTCTATTCATTTTGGGTCCTGAACCTTTTCACAAAGTACAGTTGTAAAGTTTAAATAAACAATTATCTGTGGTCCAGGAATTAATTAATCTATTTTGCATTAACACCTATGGGGAAATTGTTTTGGTTTACAAACATTTTAGTTAAAGAATAGCCTTCAAGAATGAATTAAATTTGTGAATTGAGGTTTCACTGTACTATTCTTGCTTTCAAAAACAGAATTTATACATGCTCACAATAAATTAAGAAAATATATATATATAATAGAGCTTTTAAAACTGAAATTCTTTTTGAGTAGAGTTTATATTTTGTTCAGCAGTAAAGATTTAATCTTATGAGTTAGTGAAATAGATTTTACCATATTTACTTGTGTATGTTTGCTTTCCCATTTTCTATTTAATTTTATCATTTGAAAACCAGGTTAGGGAAAGTATGCTTGAGTATACTGTTTCTAAGAAGACATCTTAAGTTATAAACATATCACATTAAAGAGCACTTATAAAGAATGCATTTATGTTATTATATTATGTATTTCAAAGGACTTCTCAATTTCAATTATATTCTTTTTACTTATGCAAAATAACTTCCTATTTATGCCTGCATTTTACATTGTTACCATAAATCAGAAGTTTCTAAATCACATGGTAAAAGAAACTAGGGGTAGACATATGCAAGTAAATACAATATTATTATTATTTTTTTAAGTTTAAAAGAATTTAGAAGTAAAAGTTTCTTCATAGTGTTAAATTGTGATATAGTGATTTCTAAGTTTTCAAATCACAAGCTATTATATTTATGATATTTCATTTTAAAGTAAATATTAGTTTATATTATTATTAAGTAAATAATTTCCCATAAATATCCTGAAAAATTAAATATAATATTTAAAAAAAAGTTTAATCTTTTTCTGGGGGCTGGGACGTCCCGAGCAAAGTGTACGGCAACTAGGGGCTCGGGACAGTTTTTCCTTGGTCGCAGGGGTAGGAATTCTAACGCTTGAGGCTTGACGATTATTTTACGACACCCTAACGACTGCGTTCTTTTGTGGGATTTCGCTAATGGGTGAGGGTAATTGTCCGTAATTTGAACCCACATGGCTTGTTTGTGAATTCGGTGTCTTCCGGGAAATATTTTCTTAAGAGGAGAAAATAAAAAGAATAATTTGTTACTTCGATTCTCGCACGTTTGTGTTTTAAG